CTGGAGGCGGCGCGAGCGAGGAGGCCCGAGGAGGAGCCACGGCGATCGCCCCCGCCGGCTGAGGCGCGGGGGCGTGGCTACAGCGCCCCCCCGCCAGACGACCGGACGGATCAGAGCGGCGCTGGTCACGAGGTGCCGCCCCCGGACGCTGGCCATCCCGCCGGGGACTCCGTCCAGACGCGGCCGCTGGCGCCGGAGCGACGACCGTCGCCAGCGGAGAGACGGCCGCCAGCACCGGAGAGACGGCCGCCGGTGCCGACGAGACGGCCGCCAGCACCGGAGAGATGGCCGCCAGCACCGGAGAGACGGCCGCCGGTGCCGACGAGACGGCCGCAGGCGCCGGAGAGACGGCCGCCAGCACCGGAGAGACGGCCGCCGGCGCCAGAGCGACGACCGCCGCCGGAGGAGCGCGGTCAGCCGGCACGGGCGCCGTACCGGTACCGGCACGGACGCAAGTACGGCGGCGCGCCGCGGCGGGGTCGCTGGCTGGCCGTGCCGCGCACTTACACTGCATCTGGCCACCTGATCGGCACGCGGCGCCCGGCGGCGGCGTCGGCGGCGGCGGGGGGCGAGTCGCGGTCTCCGCCGGCGGTGAGCACCACGCCGGGGCCCCACGTCGCCCATTTGGGGACCGCGGCGCCGCCCGACGTCCACCACGGCTCCGGAGAGGCTCCCAGCCATGACAGCACGCCAACCCCGCGGCCCTACAGCACGCCAACCCCGCGGCCCTACAGTACGTCAAGCCCGCGGCCCTACAGTACGCCAAGGCCGCGACCCTACAGCACGCCGGCGCCGCGGCCCTACAATACGCCGAGCCCGCGGCCTTACAGTACGCCGAGCCCGCGACCCTACAGTACACCGAGACCATGGCCCTATAGCACACCGGCCTCGCGGCCCTATACTACACCTTCCCCGCGGCCTTACAAGCCTAGGTCTTATCCACGAACTTACAGGACGTCATCCACACGGAACTACAACGACATTGGAGCGCCTAGACCATATAGCTCAACTAAGCATCAATCTTCGAACAGCTCTGATCAATCCCCGAGGCCCTACAAGTCCGGTCCATCTCAGCGGCCCTACACCTCCAGCCCATCCCCACGGCCCTACAGCTCTAGCCCATCCCCACGGCCCTACAGCCCCAGCCCACCTCATCGGCCCTACAGTTCTAGTCCATCGCCTCGTCCTTACAGTTCCAGTCCACCACCACGACCCTATACCTTAAGCTCATCTCCAAGGCCGCACAGTTCAACTCCATCTCCAGGACCCCACTATTCCAGCCCGTCTCCTCGGCCTTACGGTGTTAGTCCCCACAGAGTGACTTACAGCCCTAGCCCATCGCAGCGACCGTACAGTTCCAGTCCGTACCCGCAGCCCTACAGCAGCTCGCCGCGCCCCAGGCCCTACAGTAGCTCACCACGCCCCAGGCCCTACAGCAGCTCACCACGCCCCAGGCCCTACAGCAGCTCGCTGCGCCCCAGTCCCTACAGCAGCACAGCCGGTCCGCAGACAGCGCAGCCAGTCACGCCGCTGCCGGCACCGCCGACCGTCGCAGGGAGCGAGCGGCCCGTCTCCGGAGCACGCCAGCCCGCCACCAAGGGCGAGGAGAAGCGCACTGTATCCGCACACTCACCTGCTGAGAATGAGGAGCGCCCGGGGGCACAGCTTGGTGCAGTGCGTGCGCCGCACCGGCCAGAAGAACGCCGTGTCCCAGGGCACACCGAGGGCGGTTTGCGATCCGGAAGAAAAGAGCATTACGACGCCCAGCGTCCTGAGGCGCAGACGAACTCACTAGAAGACGAGAGCGGCGTTTTAGTTAAAGATACTGACCAGCTGCCCGTGCTGCCCCACCCTGAGCGGTACATAGCACCTCCCCATCGGCAGCAGGACACGGCGCCTGCGCACGCTAACGGCCATGGCCGTCCTCACCGCAACGAGGTTCCTGACGCCCGTCCCGAGCGGCCACCGCCCGCTCGAGCGTCCTCTGGCGGCGAGCCGGTTGCGCCGTCACTCAACGGACCCTACTTCCCGGTGACCACGAGCGTGCCGGTGCCGCCGCGGGCTGCGAAGGAGGCGCCACCGGCGCCGGCGCGGACCGCCCGGCGCCGCGTGAAGGTGCGGCGCCGGCTGCGGAAGGTGAGACGCCGGAAGCGGCCGGAGGAGCCCCGCGAGCCACAGCAGGACGCGAGGCTGGAGCGGCCGCCGTCGCCGGCGCAGGACGCCGGGCTGGAGGAGGCCGAGACGGGCACGAGGGCGGACCCGCCCGACACGCGGCCGCGGTCGGGGGAAGCGCGTCGGACGCGGCGGCCAGAGGCGAGCCGCGACCCGCCGCCGGCGCGGACCGAGTCGAGGCCTGAGGCGGGGAGGACCACGCGACGCCCTGCCTTTACCTTTCCCCCGTTCAAGCCGAGCCACGGCCGGCCGGACGAGCCCGAGTTTGGCGCCAGGATCGGTAAGCGGAAGCGGTACACGGGCTGACGCGGCGCCAGCGGACGGCCACCAGTGCGCCATGGCGCCTGGCGCCCGACAGCCCGGCTGGCCGCCTTAAACAGCCGGCGACGCGTCCGGCACCCACGCATGATGCGTGCCCGGTGGGCCGCGCTCAGTCCCCCTCCCTGCCCCCGCTCTCCGAACCGTTACTGGTGGGCAGACGCACGCGAGCGAATAGCCTGGGGAGCCTGACGCGGAACCAGGCTCGGTGTCTCCGAGAGTAGCCAGCGGGTTGTAGCCGGCACCACGGGGTGTAGAGTATTGTGGACCCACGGCCGGCTGGGAGCAGACATCGGGCTCATTCGCAAGCTGGCGTCCGTACCGCACCACGTACCACAGGTGGTTGGTTCACCGGGCCCGTGCGCGGTGAGCAGATGTTGAACGTCGGTCCGCTGCTGTTTAATGGTACAAGCAAGAAAAGACGCGCGAGCAAGTGATGCCATCTGTCCCCGTGAGCGAGCGTAAGCTTAATTCGATGCCAAATGGGTGCGAGAAATGCTGTGCTTTCATCCGTCAGTGTGTGTAGTCATTAGCGCTGTGTAGAGCATGGCCGAATAAACTGTTCAGAAATGAGAAATGTATTTCTCGGATGGTTCAATCCATCGGGGGAGTCGTTTAAAGCGACAGACCCAAAACTGCGGCGCGTGGCGCAGTGGGTCTCGCCGTCGCCCTGACGCTGGTAGGTAAAAACCTCAGTCACAGCACACTTTGTACAGGATCAGTCTACGCTCTGGCCCGGCCGCCGACGGCACCTCAAAGGGCGGACGAAGAGGCGGTCCCGGAGCTCTCAGCAGGCGCCACGTCCTCTTGTGAGGACTGGACCTCCTCCTCACAGGCTGAAGAGTTGCCTCCGCCCTTTGACGGCTGGACCGGCTGCCCTTCTTCCCCAGCGGGAGACTGGATGGTCGGCTCGGTCTCGGCGGGCCGGCGGGGGAAGCTCGACCTCCCACTTGACGGCTGGTCCGGCGGCCGCTCCTCGACGTTTGAGGTCGGGGGTGGTGCCGTGTTCCCGCCGTTTGAGGAGGGGGTCGACGCCGAGCCCCCGCCGCTTGAGGACGGTGCTAACGCTGTGTTCCCGCCGTTTGAGGAAGGGGTCAGCGCTGCGTCCACGCCGTTTGAGGAAGGGGTGGACGCTGCGTCTCCGCCGTTTGAGGACGGTGCTGAATCCGCGTCCCCGCCGTTTGAGGAAGGGGTGGACGCCGGCGTCCCTGCCGTTTGAGGACGGTGCTGACGTCGCGTCCCCGCCGTTAGAGGAAGGGGTTGACGCCGCATCCCCGCCACTTGAGGACGAAGCCGGCGCCGTGTCCCCGTGGCTCGAGGACGCCGCCTGCGCCGCGTCGCCGCCGCCGGCCAGATCGGACGACGAGACGGCGGCGTCGTCCACCGCGGAGTCGACGGCGGACTGTGAGCACAATTCCTCCGGCAGCGGCCGCCCTGCCGTCACAAACAAACCACACGGCTGAGTCAGGGGGCCGCAGGCCACGGCCACCACACCGACAGCGCACATCGCAGACTGCGCGCATGCATACTGACGCGAGGGCCACAGACACAATACGGCTTACACGTACATCGCAGGGACACTGAGAATGATCATGACATCACATGACACCAACACCGCACACACTGAGAACCCTCATCACATGACGCCCACACCGCACACACTGAGAATACCCATCACATGGCGCCCACACCACACACACTGAGAACCCTCATCACATGACGGCCACACCACACACACTGAGACCCTCATCACATGACGCCCACACCGCACACACTGAGAACCCTCATCACATGACGGCCACACCGCACACACTGAGAATCCCCATCACATGACGCCCCACACCGCATACACTGAGAACCCTCATCACATGACGCCCACACCGCACACACTGAGAACCCTCATCACGTGATGCCCACACCGCACACACTGAGAACCCTCATCACATGACGCCCACACCGCACACACTGAGAATCCCCATCACATGATGCCCACACCGCACACACTGAGAACCCTCATAACATGACGGCCACACCGCACACGCTGAGAACCCTCATCACATGACGCCCACACCGCACACGCTGAGAATCCCCATCACATGGCGCCCACACCGCACACACTGAGAACCCTCATCACATGACGGCCACACCGCACACACTGAGAACCCTCATCACATGACGCCCACACCGCAGACACTGAGAACCCTCATCACATGACGCCCACACGCAAACCCTGAGAACCCTCATCACATGACGCCCACACCGCACACACTGAGAACCCTCATCACATGACGGCCACACCGCACACACTGAGAATCCCCATTACATGACGCCCACACCGCATACACTGAGAACCCTCATCACATGACGCCCACACCGCACACGCTGAGAACCCTCATCACGTGATGCCCACACCGCACACACTGAGAACCCTCATCACATGACGCCCACACCGCACACACGGAGAACCCTCATCACATGATGCCCCACACCGCACACACTGAGAACCTTCATCACATGACGGCCACACCGCACACGCTGAGAACCGTCACCACATGACGCCCACACCGCATACACTGAGAACCCTCATCACATGACGCCCACACCGCACACACTGCGAACCCTCATCACATGACGGCCACACCGCACACACTGAGAATCCCCATCACATGACGCCCACACCCGCAAACACTGAGAACCCTCATCACATGACGCCCACACCGCAAACACTGATAATCCCCATCACATGACGCCCACACCGCAAACACTGAAAACCCTCATCACATGACGCCCCACACCGCAAACACTGAGATCCCTCATCACATGACGCCCACACCGCAAACACTGAGAACCCTCATCACATGACGCCACACCGCACACACTGAGAACCCTCATCACATGACGCCCACATCGCAAACACTGAGAATCCCCATCACATGACGCCGACACCGCACACACTGAGAAGCCCCATCACATGATGCCCACACCGCAAACACTGAGAACCCTCATCACATGACGCCCACACCGCAAACACTGAGAATCCCAATCACATGACGCCCACACCGCAAACACTGAGAACCCTCATCACATGACGCCCACACCGCATTACACTGAGAACCCTCATCACATGACGCCCACACCGCAAACAATGAGAATCCCCATCGCATGACGCCCACACCGCATACACTGAGAACCCTCATCACATGACGCCCACACCGCACACACTGAGAATCCCCATCACATGACGCCCACACCGCACACACTGAGAATCCCCATCAACATGACGCCCACACCGCACACACTGAGAATCCCCCATCACATGACGCCCACACCGCAAACACTGAGAACCCTCATCACGTGACGGCCACACCGCACACACTGAGAATCCCATCACATGACGCCACACCGCAAACACTGAGAACCCTCATCACATGACGCCCACACCGCAAACACTGAGAATCCCCATCACATGACGCCCACACCGCACACACTGAGAACCCTCATCACATGATGCCCACACCGCACACACTGAGAACCCCCATCGCATGACGCCCACACCGCACACACTGAGAACCCCCATCTGCATGACGCCCACACCGCACAAACTGAGAACGGGCGGCAGCCTCACTGTTATCACCACTAAATCACAACCGCAGGGGACGGGCGGATATTTCAAACAACAGACACGGCAGACCGGGGATTTCATGTGAATATGGTGTAACAATGCACTGGATGATGTCTACGAGAAGGTCCTCTTAATAGGCTTACGTGGAAAGTTGTAGCATTTATCTGACTTACTTAGTGATTGAGGTCGGGGGAAAAATCGAGGAACAAATGCTTTAGTGGCCGCATCTTCGCCTTTCTGCACTCGCGGGAGAATATCAGAGCTCCTTTTTAAAAACAACTTTTCGCTCCTTCCCAGAGGAATTACGTCGGAAAACATATGACACCCAACTGCCTCCAAGCTGCACACATCACACACAGCCCATACACCGCTGAGCCACCGCACACGCCGCCCACCCCAGCGCGGCAGTCTACTGACCTGAGGCGCCGCCCGGCCCTCCAGGGCGAGGCAGAGCCGCTGCAGCGTGTCGAGGCGGCGCCGCTGCGATGCCAGCTCGGCGTCGCTGGCATGCTTCTGCTGGGCCAGCTGCAGCAGCTGCTGGCTGTTGACGGCGCACCGCTGTCGCCAGCTGGCGCTCTCCTTATCCAGTCGACGCGTGGTCTTCTTCATCTGCGGCGGCGGCGCGCGGGCCGTGAGGGACGGGACCAGCGACGGCGACGGACCCGCGCCAGGACTGGCGTCACGCGGATAGTCCGTCCCAGGGGCTCAGTGGTGAGAGCGCCTGCCTTCTGATCCCTTCCTCCCTCCCTCCCCCACTATCACGGCGGCGGGGTGGGTTACACCTATGCATCCATTCCATGGGCTTGGAACAATTTTTAATGGCGACCGGTTGTTCTGGTGATGGGGAGCAGGGAGGTGTGGGACTGACTTACGGGGTACACCGGAGTGTAGGCCTAACTGGTGACGGGGAGCACGGAAGTACGGGACCGACTGACGGGATACACCGGGGTATAGGCCTGACTGGTGGCGGGGAGCAGGGAGGTACGGGACCGACTGACGGGGTACACCGGGGTGTAGGCCTAACTTGTGACGGGGAGCAGGGAGGTAGGGGACCAACTGACGGGGTACACCAGGGCGTAGGCCCACTTTTGACGGGGAGCAGGGAAGTACGGGACCGACTGACGGGATAAACCGGGGTGTAGGACACACTCGTGGCCAGGGAGGCAAAGAAGAAGCGCTGGCTTAGTTGTGGTGCCTGGATGAAGACGCGCCACGTGGTACTGACCTTGGCCAGGCAACTTAAAATCTGAAGCGGGCCGGGCGAGTCTGCAGAAACTACGGAGGGAACACGGCGCCGGTCCACCGAATGTCCGACCCGATTAACGGAGGATCGGTTGTGGACTGCTCGGACAGACGTCTCACAGCCTCCTACCCGCATTATCCTGGGTCGGTAAACAGTAACCCATATAGATGCACAGGGATGCCCACTGCTTCGAAACAGGAGCGGCAATCCCTCGCCGCCTATAGCGGCAATCCCTCGCCGCCTATAGCGGCAATCCCTCGCCGCCTATAGCGGCAATCCCTCGCGGAAGTATATAGCTGGGCGGATTATAGCAGTGAGCGAGAGCATATCCTAATGCATTGCCCACAGTCCCACCTTGTCGATGTCGGTCTTGTACGTATCGAAGGCCGTGTTGGACTGGGCAAGCGCAGCCTGGACGTCGTCGAAGCGCTGGGCGCAGGCGTCCAGCTGCGCCTTTAGCTGGGCCTCGGTGGCCTCCAACTGCTTTGCAGCGGGCATGGCACGTGGTCGCGGCCTGGGGGCAGCCACGTCAAGGTCACACCGACCCACGTCCGACGCACGTCACTAGTCAACCGAGGCCCACGTCCGACGCATGCCCCGAGCAACCGAGGTCCACGTACGACGCACGACACTGGCAACCGAGGCCCACGTACGACGCACGTCACTGGTCAACCGAGGCCCACGTGTGACGCACGACACTGGTCAACCGAGGCCAACATACGACGCATGTGCCTGAGCAACCGAGCCCACGTCCGACAACGTCCCTGGTCAACTGAGGCCCACGTCCGGTAGGCAAATACGTCGTTAGGCAAGAACGATTGGGCAGCTTGTCAGCGATGGAGCCATACTGTTCACACATAGTCATCGCACCTGTTAAAACAAGAACAATCGCAAAGAAATCACAGTTTCGAGCGAGTTCTGGATTACTTCGCTACCTTTGCACTTCATTTACTATAAGTTCATTTAATCTTGCTCGTTAGTTTAGTATGTTAGTTTAATTTTTAGTTTAGCACATAGTTTCTTTTGCACCATGACAAAAAACGAAGATTAGGATCCACGGATGAGATGGAATACAGTGAATACCTGTTGTAGCTTACGCCTCTCTTCTGCGAACTTTTCTCGTTGCTTTCTCATTTCTGCCTGCACTTTGGCAACCTGGGCGTCTGACAACTGAGTCTTCAGTTCCTTTTGCCTGACCATTTCTGCAACCATCTGCGAACCAGTCAGTACATGTTGAGGATACCATGCGATGTAAAGCTTACCACCAACTACCACGGTGATTCCACACTTGAAAAACAGGAATACCACAAGGTGGCTACGCCTGAAAACCTGACAAAAGACAAAATTGGGGGGAAATCAGCAACTCCTAAGATCAGTCGTCGTTTTACGGCCAAAATTGCACAGGCCAAACGCTGCAATAATCCAGCACAAATAAATACGTAAGAAAACACCCATTGGTCGTTGTTTCGATGTGAGGCCTTGACAGACAAAGCCTTCACAAGCCACACGCATCCCGCCTTCTCCCGTAAACGGCACGGCGCGTCCAGTCGTACCGCGTTCTTCTGCTCGTACTGCTGGCAGAGCTTCGCCAGCTTGCCGGAGATGCTGGCGTTCTCGTCGGTGAGCTTGGCGTTCTTCTCGCTGCTGTCGGCGATCAGGCTCGATATGTCGTTCAGCGTCGTCTGGAACTGGGCGGCTACGGCGCGGCGCCTCGCTCTCCTCGCGCACCTTGGCCTGGCTCTCCTCCTGTCGGCAGCGGCGGCGGGCGTCAGCGCCACCCACCGCCAGCAGCGGTGGCGGGGGGGGGGGGCTCCGCGCGGGAGCAGCCGGAGGCCGAGGTGGCAGACGTTGCTGCACCGGCGGAACCGCTGCCAGCCACGAAAATTGTACCGACCATCATGCCCTAACCCACATTGCAAGGACTTCCAAGAATCATGTTATGGGATTTACAGCCAAGATATGCAACATGTGAAAACAAAGGACAGGGTATCAGTTCGGTTCTGGCGTGGCTGCACAAGCATACCTTGATGGCGCGGTTCTGCGTCTGCAGCTCCCGGCAGAGTGCCTCCAGCTGGCTGCGCGTGAGCAGCACGCGCGCCTGCTCCACCTCCAGGCCGGACGTCTCGCGCAGCAGCTGGTCCAACCGGTGCTTCAGCTTGCGGACCGACGACTGCGACACGGCACAGCGCGGTCAGGCGGGCCACCAAGCCGCAGCACACTTGATAGGTAAATACGTGTGCATGGATTGACTGATGAAGTGCTGACGTTACGCGGCGCACGCAAAATCGGACAAAGTCGTTCGGTCGCGGCAACGCAGTGCTTTTATGAGTGCACACTTGCCACTGCTCCCCTATCTAGCCAACATGTACTTTCCTCCGTCATTATCTAGCCATTTAAGCATGCGAGCAGGATGTCACTATCAGTCCGCAAGCCTCCGGTTCGGCCGTAAGCCTGATGACGACTGTGAAACAGCGGAGGACAGTGTGGTCAGCCCGCCCGCGCCCGCCCGCCTCCTACCTGCAGCCGCTTGTTGTCCTCCACCTGCTCAGCATGGCCCCGGCAAACATCCACCAGGCGCTGCTGAGAGACGGCCGGGCCGCCCGCGGCCAGTAGCGCCGGCTCGGGGCCACCCGCCGCCGCCAGCGCCGGCTCAGGACCGCCCCGCCACCAGCGCCGGCTCCGGGCCGCCGACCGCCGCCGCCGGCTCGTCTGCCGCCGCCTGCCGAGACGTCGCCGCCAGACCATGGTCAGAGTAAGGTGCACACACAGATAATGTCAAGGTGATTTAGTCAAATATGAAGCTTCCCAGTGTAATCAGCATTTAGTGATGGGAAAGCATGTCACATTCACATATCACAAGTTGTACAGGATGATACCAAACAGAACATCGTGGCAGCTTGTTTCATGACATGGTCATAGCAATTTAGATAATGACCACCAAGAAAATCTCACAGCAATAATACAATCTAACCTTTTCAGTGTTCACACCTTCACCAACATCTCCACAGGAAGACATTGCAGGCAGGTGATGGGACAGACCTGCAAAATCGCAAGATTAGACAGACAATTTGCAGCCCTATATACCTGAGTCTTATGTGCATTGCATCAGTTTAAAAGTTTTCCAGCAATGGAGCTGCATGCTATTTGTTCTAACATTTAGTTTACATGGATTTCTGGGACCAGCACCCATGCTGAGTGCCTGCTGTGCCAGCCCTGTTCCCATTTCACAATCCCTAGCTGATATAACATTTGGTTCCATACTGATAAAACAACTTCAGCACACATCATAGCATCAAGCTCAGAGCACGAACAAGCACTGAGTACGTACAATATAGCTACTCTGTAATTAAAGAGCAGCATAGGTACATCAACCTTACCAGACCCGCATCACCAGTTACCAGCCAAATAGGCATAATCATAACCAAATTTTGAGACCTTCATCTCAGAGTTCTTGGTCACAGATATTTAAATCTTAATCCCCTTAGTAGGCAGTGCAGATTTGAGGCACTTTGCACCAAACATACTTAGAACCTCCTCTTAAGGAAACAAGCCCACATACACTCCATATAAGTTTGAAATGTGAGGGTTAGAAGCATCCTGCTCTCCCATCTTGTCACATCCAGACAGATCTATCATCAAAATATGTGTCCATATCTGACCAATACACAACTGCCTGACTCTCCAAATCATGCTATCATATCATGTTTGGAGACTACTTTTGCAGCTCTAACCACCCAAAACAATGTTTTCTTTAAATCACTTTCTGCACAGACACAATTATGGCATGTCTTTTGCTTCAGGGTGCCCCTTCTTCCCACCAAAATATAAATGTCTTCACACATGGAATCTTATCAGGTCAATGATCATGTAGGAAGCTTACAACATGCAATGTTTGTGTTAAATGGGTGACAAAAGTATTATAATGTAATGATGCATTTGAAATGTGATATTCCTATTTAATATTTGCACAAACACCACTGTCTTCTCAGTGTCATTTAAACTGCAAGGCATTGCATTATTGCAAGCATGGCACACACCCATACACAAAAATTGCGCAAATCAAAATGATAGTACACCATACAATCGTGAACCAAATCTGCAACGAAATTGCGTAACAAAGAAAATAAAAAAGACGGGAAATGTAATCATGACATCAAAAACTACATAACTTACTTAAAATAATCAAACACGGACCAAACGCGCGGTGCAGCGTCTCTTCTCGTAAATCGTAAAACAAGAATACGCAAACCCGGCTAATCTGCGGCAGAGTTATGGATAAATGGTCTACAAGTCCAATGACATCTACATGACGTTATTCACGATTGTACCCAAAATTTTTCTATCTTTTCAACTAACATAATTAAAAATCACTAAAATCTGTCAAATAAATGATACACCTATGCTTTTATGTGTAATAAGTAACAGGCTTTGTCTTACGTCATCAAACCTTACCTGGTTTAAACATTACAGATATGGCGCTCAAGCTACATCTGATTGGTAGTGTAATGTTAGCATTGTCAACAGCAGTGGATAGGCGACTATTGTGTTCTTGGACTGCAGCTGTATCTCTGCAGGTATCTATTGTCGTGGCTTTATCCTGCAGCTCATTTGAGAACCGAGATGGAGGACCAAGACCAAATAAACAATGCTGCTCTTAAAGAAGCGTTGGAAAGTGGTATCGATTTGCGTCAGTACTCTACACAAGTTGAGCAAAAACTCAGGCAGGTACGTAAGCAGCCGCAAAGGTATATATTGGCCAATATAATTGAACATTCATCCTACATGGTGCTGTTGTAGGCAGGGGCTTATATGTAGCATTTTCTCTCTGATCCACCAACAACAGTGCTTGTAAATGGGCTTTCCATGGGCTTGGCCATTTCCACATGAACTTGAATGAAATCATGTTCACTGCCTGTGACCATGGTGTTCAAATAAAATATATTGAACAGATATTCATCATGATAAGCTAGCATAATAGCTGTATGATGTGCAGCTGTAAAATCCCTGTGTATCTCAGTTAAGGTCAGGAGCTAATCTGCTCTTGGTACCAAGGTTAACTTCTCCCAAAATGTCTGAAAGCTAAGGTGTATTATTTGGGCATGAGCATACATAGCCAGCTGTGCAGATTGATCCATACCTCTGTGATCTAACTGGCAAATATAGGACTTGTTTTCTTATCAACTTTTGCTGTTTTTCTTTTGCTATGGCACTGGATCACTGAAGTCTGGGTGGGAGGCTGATTGGCATTGTGTGCCTCTTCAGTTAGCAAAGTCTGTGGTGCTGATGTTTATTGGAAAGGAGAGGTAAAAATAGTCAAAGTGGTCTGGTTGCAAAGATACCATATTTTGATACAGCTGGGTGCCCCAAGCTACTTAAACTTGAATGCTCTTGCCTCTTAAACACACATCTGGCTTGCAGGCTTCTTATTAATGGCCATCATATGAGTTTAAATATTTTATAGTCCTTTGAAAATGTTATTTGCCTCATACTTACCATTTTTGCTTGTGTAAAATGCTCCCACATTCCTCCTTAAAAATGCTTCCACATTCCTCCTTGAACTCTGTTGTACCCTGAAGGCTGCTGTGCCAGTAGGATTTTGATCAGGAGGAGTGAGCATTTACTGGGACTAAAATTGTATTTCTGAAGTTTCAACATCTTTCACACCTTCTCCACCTTTCACATTAAGCATTTGCCAGTTCCATGCTGCATATACCAGGACAAATATTCAGAGCAGGTTGGTAACCCTGCATGTAATCTCTGTCCTTACCAAAATCATTGCAACAGAATTGTTTTGTGTGACTCCCTTATCTTGCTTGCACATGATGAAGCAGTCAAGTCGGGTCAACTGAGGCCATGCTGTTTCTGGCTGTCTTAGCTGCATATATTTTCATATGCCTCAGAATATAGGTGGTTCAGCTTGAAGCATGACCCCAGCTAGTTCAAAGGGATAGAAGTAAGGTAATTTAAGGTGTTATCACATGATGTGCCATGACCTTGGCTCTTCCCAATCTGGCTGTGCAACCATGATATTGGTACACCGCAGTGGTAACAGATGACTGGGGATAGCTGACACCATCTCAGGGAAAAAGGAACATTAGTCATGCAGTGTTGCATCAAGTGAAAGGGAAAAACATTCAGTCCCAGACCCTGATCCAACTTCAAGATCTGCTGCTGCTTGTGTGATACAAAAGTTCTACATAAAATGATGTTGGGTGATGTTCAATACTTATCCTGGCTGACAGTGGTTTTGAGTGATGCTGATGCATGCCACATGCCAGTTTATGATTGCATGATGGGATGAAAATATGTGACCTCAACCTCTAGGTTCAACCTCATGTGACATTTACCTCACAGACCCCCACAAGATAGTATGAGGTGCACAGTGCCAAGATGGTACTGGGAGCCCCGACTTTCGATGGTTTAACGGTGAAGGCGTATAAGAGAAATATATAGGATTGACATAATGATGTAGATCAAGAATTTCCAAGGTAAACTCGGGTGACACAGATATTATCATGGACTGCGCAGCAATAAGTGAGATCGGAATGTTACGAAGACTTCGGAAACCGGCCGGAGGGGCCGCACCACATCTCTGCCCGGAGAGAAATTGTTCAGTAAATATAAATATGGAACAGGAAGCTTGTTCGAACCCACAATCAGGCAAGTTATTAATTTTCGTTAACTTGCTTTTCAGGTGGAGAATGCATCAATCCAGGACTACATTAAAGAGAGCAGAAATATCACCGAGCTGCACGGCCAAATAACTGCGTGTGACCAGATCCTGGAGGTAAGAGTCCATGCCTCCATTTCGCAGCCATCCGTGAAACTTACATCTCTTTACAGCCTCGAGCGCGCTGAGAACCTTTTGGTTGACGTTGAAACATACTTATGGATGCATGTAATTTCGTAAGTCACGAGGGTCATAACCTCTACCACAGGTTTTGTTCGGGTGGACGCAGTTTTCTGAAGTGGAAAAATTACCAGTTATGTTTGTTACGGATAACAACACCCAACCCGGTATCTCAGTATAGAAATTAGTTGCATTTCAGGGACGCCATACTTAATGTACGATCTATTTTCGTGATATCGAACTCACAGTATCGTGAGCCATCGCGCACGCAGGATGTTTCGCGATGTTGCGAGTGCCAGATTAGTGAGTGCACGTCGACGTCCGTATCTTTGTACTGGCAGGCCCACCGACCCGGGACTGCTGACCTCTGGCCGCTGAATTCTGGCCGCTGATCCCTGACCGCTGATCTCTGGCCGCTGACTACTGATCTATGACTGCTAACCTCTGATCTCTGACCGCCGACCTGTGACCGCTGAATTCTGACCTCTGACCGCTGACTGCTGACCTATGACTTCCGACTTATGACTGCTGACCCTTGGTCTCTCACCAGTACTGCTAACCTCTGACCACGGACTGCTGGCTCCTGACCTTTGTCCGCTAACCTCTGACCGCTGACCTTTGACGGCTGCTTCTGACCGCTAACCTCTGACCGCTGACCCTGCGTCGGCAGCGGATGGAGGACATGCTGCAGACGTTCCAGTCGGACCTGGGCAGCATCAGCAGCGAGATCGTGCACCTGCAGCAGCAGTCGGTGGACATGAACCTGCGCCTCAAGAACCGACAGGCGGTGCGCGGCCAGCTGAGCCAGTTCGTGGACGACATGACGGTCCGGAGACCATGATCAGGTGAGCAGCGCGTGCTCTGACCCCGGCCCGACCCGGCTGGGTCTGGCTGGCCGCTGTTGGGGCGCCAGGTCTGGTCTGGTCAGACCCCGGGTCTGCCGCGATCACCTGGCCTGATAGGCCCTGGATCTCAGTTTTTTTCGTATTCAGGCGTTTATCAATTTTAGACATGCAAAAAAACAGGTAATCAAAAATTTGTGCCTCTAAGATCATGCTTTCCTATCGACGATGGGCAGTAAAGGACTAAAAAGTAATTGTCATCCAACAACAAATCTAGCAGAATGCTTGTTTGGTTGAAACTGAAGCAATGTCAAATATGAGCGGCAATCGATGTCTATTCTCTGGTGCGTTATTTTACCTTTGGTGGGATCAACTTTAACTCCTGTAACTGCTTTAACTCCTGTGAGTTTGATCCTGCATGTGGTGTTCATAATCAAGGAGCGTCTGGTCATGGCGTGCGTGTGTGTACTGCGGCGTGTGACGGGCTGTCACGTCTCAGGCACATCATGGAGACGCCGGTGACGGAGCGGGAGTTCCTCGAGCAGCTGTTCACCCTCGACCAGAAGCTGAGCTTCGTCAAGGAGCAGAGCTTCAGAGGTCCGGCCCCTTGCCTCACCGCGCGAGCTGCCCCACATGGGGCCGAATGGCCTTAGGTTTGCGATAGTGCCACGGGGTTGCAATGACCGGGTGGGTTAGCGCCTCGATTTACACGTGGGGAGCGGGTTAAAATTCCGGTTGTGCTACGGTTTGTGGAACGCTAATACGGGCAATGCACTATGTCGCTGACATTCCAATATATATATGAATAATGTGTCGCTGACGTTCGATAAAAGGGCCGTGACATCGTGCGTCGCGTTTCCTTTTCTGTTAAAAACGGGCAGATTTTGTCTCGTGCAGTTGATGCCGCAAGCGGTCATTCGTAGCTGACCAGGTTTAATTTTCGGGCAACTGGGTCGATTTCGATATCCCAACAAGCGCAATAAGATACAGTTTTGAAGCCCTTTGTACGAATCTTGCTGGGGTGTGCTGCCCACAAAGTCTGAGCAGATGTGCTGATCCTGTGGAAAACAATCTGTTCCAGAGGCCAAGTCATGCCATGACGTTAACGACGTGTTAGAGAAGCTAAAGGTCAGTCCATCCAAAATCCGGGAGTACCTGCTTCAGAAAATCTACCAGTTTCGAAAACCGATGACGAATTTCCAGGTCCCTCAGAACGCCATGCTGAAATACAAGTGAGGAAAACCCGTACCTTCTTCAAACGTACGGCGCTCTTACCTAGGTGCCAGTGGTTCACGTTATCTTGCTAAGTACCAATGCAACGGGGAGGCTTGAGAACGCCTGTCAAATCTGAAACGAATCTGGTGCCTAGTGCGTCATATCTACCCTGTTGGTTGTGTTCACGGCTGTGCACAGCCCCGGCGTCAGGTTTTTCTACAGTTCTTGGTGGCCAACGAGCGGGAGGTGGCCCGTGAGATCCGGGACGACTACATCGAGACCATGAGCAAGGTGTACTTCAGCTACTTCAAGTCGTACTCGGCGCGCCTGATGAAGCTCCAGGTACTGATTCTCATCCGAGACTTTCTTTTTTGGAGCACGTGACTTGTGCTCTGTGACTTGGTAAGCGCCACTGCGTGCGCCGGGAAGATGACCCGGGACCGAAACGGCAGCGGGCTAGATGTCATAGAGTCACGTGTTCTCAAAAGGATCCAATGATCGGCATGATGGAGAGAGGTTATTACACGTCGTTGTTTTGTCCCGTGTCCGTGCGGCCGGCTGAGAAACTGAAAGCTGGCAATTTCCCTTGCGGTATTCACTTCGTTGCGTGACGTATTCACTTGGTTTCGTGTTTCGTAATGTGATCGAGTCAGCAACATCGTTTCGATAACAGGCAGGAACGTGGAGGTTATCTTTGCACCCCGTAGAAAGGCCGTTTGGACGCAAAGTAAATCATCATATGTTTCGGTATTGTGTCAATGCGCCATGATCGCAACTCGCTTGGGAGTGGTCCATTGACAGTTTGCTTCCTTAGCGTACACAAACTTCAGTGAATTTTCCCGCGTGTTTGTCATTGCCTGTCCAGTAAGTTTTGCGATTGGTGTGACCTTCATTTGTTATGTCAGCGCATTGGCCCCATTTTTCATTATCCTGTACTAGTTAAATCCATACGCTATCCCTTCGCTCCGCAGCCTGTCCCTGTCGGCTGCGTAAACGTTCCACAGTATGCGTGTAAAGCCACCACACAAGTGTTGTGGATTGAGGGCCTTGACCGAGTCTATTTTCGGCCCTTTGCTTCCTGAGGTCCTCAGCGCCTGGCTGCGTTGCTATGTACCGTTCTCTTCGTGAGCCATGCATCGCCGCCGCTGACCCCCTCCCGTCGGCCAGTTCGAGGAGG